TACTCTTTCATTTAAGGTTCATTTTGGGATATGAGAGCAATGAGGACCTCCAGCATTCATTGCATGGTCTCAGCCTTAGATGTACTTTGGGATGATAATGGCTTTTCTTATTGAGCAACTTTAACTGTCATTTTTAAATCCAGAGAGAAGCAATGTCAGAGCCTAAATAAATAAGCATATGGTACATCTAAATGCAGTCAGTTATGAAGAAATGAACCTACACAAACTGGTTGTATTTGTAATGTGCTGCTCAAACTTAAAATGTCAACATCCATGATGTTTAAGACACACCAAGTTTGATGTGTCTAGTTTCTATTCAATGTGAAAGAAATTTATAGGCTTTAAATCTGAAAATAAACTGACTTTTTTAAAAATGGGAACAAACATGAGAGAGAGCTAAATGACTTGAGGCAAAGGAAAGATCATATCATCCTCACATCAATTTTATTCTGGCTTTAAGTGAAAGGGAAGAAATCAAAAGATGCTGACTGAACAAGCTTTTCCTACTGGAGATAAAGTGCAATCTTTCCTTGTTAAAAAAAAAAAAGAGCAGGAAAAACCTCTAGATAAACATTTCTTTTTGTTAGACTGAAAACTTGTCAGATAATTCTAAAAAAATGTGGAATATTTCCCATGTCTGCCTTGATGGACAAGAATAAAACAAAACAAAAAAACCAGGAGCTTTGGTGTGAAGTAGGAATTTTAAACAAAAATGCTCATTTTAATAGGAAACTACACCAGCTATGTCACTAAAGAATACACTAAATGTAATAACCCTGTCACTAAAGAATACACTAAATGTAATAACCCCTCCAGGAGAATTCTGAAAACATCACCCGCTGTGAATGCTAAAACTTAAATCACTAGAAATATACATAGGAAACAGCCAGCGGTGTGAAACAACAACTACTTGTATTGTTGCTAGTGTGCTAAATGTCAACACCCATGTTTAGAAGAAACTATCATGCACCATAACCTTTGGAATTTCACAGTACTGGTCAGCCACATAAACAAAACAAAACACCAATAAATCTGCTTCACAACGTCAAGAGAGAAAAGCATCTGCAACTTTATGAATAAATCCTATCACTGTAAATAAATAATGAGACTCAAATAAGCCAACAGAGACAATACAGAAAGGTTATGTCCACCACCTTGTTACCCGTCAAAACAGAACTCATCCTTCTGCCATCTTGCATTTTCTTCAGATGTTTTAACAATTCTGAAATGTAATCTTTCTTAATTATCTTTCTTCAAAATTCCAAATCTAATCATTTCATACTTTCTCAGGATATGACATCCAAAACACCAAGCCAGAAAGAAAGGAAGGAATAAGGTAATAATCTCGAATTTTCTGCTTTCCAGAGACTTCAGAACATGTTTACCCAGGGTAAAAATCTACTGAAATAACAATATATTAGTCATACAATTATGATCAACATACACTAACTAATGGTTTGATGATTGAAGAGTAAAAGGGACTGAAGTTTTCGAGTGGAATGAAAATGATCTTTGGGTTGTTGGTTGGTTGGCTGGATACTTTTGCTTATTCTGTGACACTAATGAAAGAACCCAGTGCCTTGTGACTGAGCTACATCACCAGCCTGAGAGCAATGGGAACTTTCTATGTCAACAGCTAAGGAGCATTCAAGCTTCCTCCATGCAGCCCAACCTATAGTTACATAGCAATCCAGAGTGCTGGGAAATCAATTGAACCCACTTATTATAGCAGTATGCTTTGTGTGGGGTTGATCAATGAGGACCTGATTTCTGGGAAATTACGTCTGGCACTTTGTGCAAAGGGGTTTGTCTTACCTCGCTATTTTCACAGTACTTGTGATCATGAAAGGTTGCTGGGAATTTATGTTTTACCTACTTCAAAGTAATTATTTGGGCTACTGTATATAGTTGGGCCACTGTATAGAGTTGAATTACTATAGTCCTACCGCCTTCAAATATATTTCCAATAAAATAAAAGAGGCTAATCTATTTGAATGTGAGCCATTAATATGCGCTTGTGCATTAGGAAATGGTATACTTAATGTCAGTTGTACTGTTTTCCTATGTCATATAAAATGTCAGGTATGCAAATTTCCACAACCAATGTCAAAAACTGATCTGTCATGTTAAGCTCATGTACAGAGAAGCAGTATTAGAACTGAGGGTAGAATCTGACCCCTAGCTTCAAATGTCATCTCCATCATTTATCTGTTGGGTAATTTTGACAAAACTAGCTAACTTATCTGAGCCTTACTTTCTGTATTTGAAAAACTGGGATATGAGTAGATACGTCACAGGATTTGTATGAAGATTAAATGTGCATAAAAATGAAGGCATACTGTAAATATCAGCCTATGCAATCATTAAGGTCATTCAGTTGACCCTTAGGTTCTATGATTGTAACTTCCATATATACTCACAAACATATATCCACAAACTTAGAAAAGAGATGTAGAAATAAATATATCGACATACATATATAATAACAAAAATTCCTACCTTGTTATATTCTTTCAAAATGAAAGAAGGCCATAATTTGTTGAGGTTGCTACAATTTAAAAGGCTATGCATTTAGTCAATTTTTGAAATGCTATCTTAAGAAATTCAACAGTTACAGGAAATCTGGGATGAAATGCTGCAAGGACAGCTTATCTTCTTATCTTATATTTCCAATATGAGTTTTTGTTTAATATTGGTTAATGTGATTTTTTGTTAATCAAACAGTAGTATATCTACATATATTTTCTTGGTAACTCATTTGCTACTTAATAATAAAATCAAAGTTTGAAAAATTACATAAACAAATCTTTCTGGACACTAGAATTATGACACAAAGTTCTTAAAACCAGATTGAAATCATAAGCACATCATAAATGCATGTTCCACAACAAAACAAAACACCCCTAGTGAGCTGTGGAACATTGTGGAACCATTTAGTAACTATTAAAAAGAAAAGGTTCAGATGACATAAAACCAAAATCAAGGTAGTAAAACATAATGACTACAATAGAGAGACTTGAATTTTTTATCTTCATACTCATACAGGTTTCACAGTTTGTACATTTTTCAAATCACTGCACTTTAGAAGAATGTGTTTTATTTATGATCCCATTTCTGCTTCTTAAATGCCATAGATACAAGTGCCCAGTTTTGTATCCTTTGTTTTGTTCCAGTTGGTATTTTATTGCTGCATCCTATTTGCTGCCTGAATGAGCCTTTGCCCAGGCTTTCCTACCTACTCCATCCTTTATTTCACCAATTAAAAAGCCATCTCAATACTGATTGTAGTTCTGTTCACCAGAACTACAATAAGAAACTAAAATGCTTTGTAAAAGTCACGGTATAAATCAGAAGCTCCCTGAAGATTATTTGACCTATGCAGGATGAAACAATTTTATTACCTTAAATATAAGACCAATGAGTAGAAATGCTACCATTTCAGTAATTAATGTAGAACAAAAAGTTAATATAGGTCAGTATAAAAATCATCCAACTTCTTTCTGACATTTTCTTGTTTGCAATAGAGGAGAAGGTAAATGGAAACTCTCCAAGCCTACAAGATTGATAGGAATATTAAGATGTTTTTAAAAATATGAACTTTAATTTAGAAAACATGGTTTCTCTTTTCCCACTTAGATATCTATCATGAGAATGATATATTTATGTAAGAGCCCATAGAGGGTTAGTGGAGAGGGTTTGGCACAAGAGAACAAAAATAACTATGACATGAATGCAGATAAACGAGAGCACACCAGAAATTTAGGATAAAGAATTAAGTGTCTTGAATTTACTAACACAATTTATTAGTAACAAAAAAAGAAAATCCACCACTCAACAGCACCACCTAATTCCAACATCTTTTCCTTTCCTTTACAAATTTTGCTGCTGTAACAAGTAGCTAATGTACATTGAGTAATTATTATGGTCCAGACACCATGTGCTTCTAATGTATTACATCAGTCATTTCTTAAATCAGTCTCCTTAGAAGGTTGTATAATTTCTCCAAGTTCCCGCAGAGAAGGAATTGAGAGTTGCAGAGGAAACCTGGTTTGCCTAGATCCATAGAATCACAATGATTCAAACCACACTATGTCAGCCCAAATCCCAACCTTATAACCATCGCTATCATCTTAGCACAAGGTCAGATCAGATTATGCAATAGTACAACATTATATAACTTCCACTCAGCCTTGAGCAACACCCACTGATGGATATTCTAGATAAAAGCAAGCTCTGCTTACCATTTTTCGTATGTGTAATTTAATAAATCTGGGCAACGTGAAAGTATAATTGTATCATCCATAAGATAAAAAACGATCGATATGGGGCTGGGAAGGTGGCTCAGTGGTAGAGCGCTTGCCTTGCATGCATGAGGCCCTGGGTTCGATTCCTCAGCACCATGTAAGCAAAAAGAAAAAAAGCCGAAGTGGCGCTGAGGCTCAAGTGGTAGAGTGCTAGCTAGCCTTGAGCTGAAGAGCTGAGGGACAGCACCCAGGCCCAGAGTTCAGGCCCCATGACCGGACCCAAACCCCCCCCTTCCCCCCCAAAAAAAACAAAAAAACCGATCGCTATCAAAGTATATGGCATATGGAAGAACCCAAACTGTTTTACTATAAGTCACATACAAAACCACTCCATAGAAGTTTTTTTATATATTCCCAAGGCCAGGTTCTATATTCTTTTTTTTTTCAAGTTAATTTTATTGTCAAGGTGATGTACAGAGGGATTACAATTACATATGTAATGAGTACGTTTCTTGTTGAACATTGTTACTCTCTCCCTCGTTACTTTCTATTTCACAACAAACTTCTCAGCCAGGCCTCTTATACATGATATCATAAGTCAAAATTATGTTAAATAGCACACAAAAAGCTGAGTTTGAGCTATCTGTATTCTTTCCTGGTTGCTAGGGTCTCATACATTTTACTTGACTTGCAGAACACACTTTACCTTATGTAGATAGGGCTAAATGACAAAGAACCAGAGAGCACCTCTCTTACCTGCTTTAGAGCCTTTTTGGTATGCTGCTGAAAGGAAGACACTAACTTGCTCTGCACGGCTGTGTTGGTAAGGCTTGAATCTCGAGTAGAAGATGCTTCATCAGTTACCTGCTTCGTACAAACTAGAAACAGAAAGAGATAATGATATTACTAATTTGAATTCCTTTTTTTTTTACATCCACTGTAATTAACTCACTAGGAGCTTTTCTCCAATTGAAAATGGATACTTAAAATAAAGCAGAATAGCACAGCACAAGGAAGAGTGTCTAGATTAGAAGAGAAGGGACAATTTAATAACTGTGTGGCCACAGTTTCATTTAACCTGGATAGACCTCTGTCTTTCCTTACTTGCTAATAGATGAACATTACTTTGTCATAGAGCTATTGTGTAAAAGTAAAACCTATCACAATATCTACCTCAAGAGTTGGGACTAGTAAACACTATATGACTACAGAGATCTGGTGATGCATATTATTCTAAAGAAACCTTCTAAATGATGGAATAGGTTATTTTTTAAAAAAAAAAAAAACCAGACTAGTAGACATCTAGGATTCTTCCTTTTAAAAGCTCTCCCTCTGTGGAATATATCACATACGGAGATGCTCCTCCATCTATGGGATGAGATGTAGCAAAGAGAAATTACAATGATACACAAGATATTTTTGTCAATTCAGGATTATTATATTCAACCAATATATGCCTATTGTAATGAAACCTGCCCACTTATACTACAGGCAAGGACTCCGCTGACCTATTCTACAGAAGGTAATTTGTATCAGAAAGCTACTTTTAGAAGCACTTATGTCTTGCTGACATAAGCTTTCAGATACTCTCTGCCTTATGAGATCCATGTTGGAGCTGTGGCTCTTCCTTCAGTCCTAAGTTTAAGACAGCAATGATCTGAGCAAGAGTATCAAGGAGGGACCTTCATGCTGTGTACTAGGAGAGGAGTTATTTGAAAAATTCTAGAGTGAGAAAACACTTAAGTTTAGTGTCTGAAAGGAGGCATATGTCAAAGGCAGGAGGCAAGAGGAAGTTAAGAGGGACGAAAATAACTTGGGAACATATTATATAAGCTTAAAACGTGACTTCTTAAGGGTACTAAGATAAATGCTAAGTCTAGAAAAAATATCCAACTAACAGTGCATTAGAGGGATTCTGACCAGAGGTTTAAAACAAGTAGAAAGGTAAAAATTACTATAGTTTTCAATTTCCAGCAACCCTCCCCCCTACACTCAAAATTAGAGTACAAATGGATTCCTGTGCACATATACAGAGAACATTCCATTTGAGCATGCCTTGGCCTAGAAATAAACATGTGGATCAACAGAAAAGAATCTGGAGAAACTGAGAGGTAATCACGTTTTATTTTAATACAGGAAATATTCAGGAAGCCAAATGAATACATTTAGGAAAATAGCTGCTAACTATTCATCTAGCCATTTTATATAAGTGAACTAATTATTTTCTTGAAACTTTCTTACAAGACAAAAAGGCATTGTCTCCATACTGGGCAGAATAGAAAAGTAGAGCTCAAAATTAGTCACTAGTGGTCACATAGGCAATGAAGCATCAGAAATGGGATCCAACTGAAGCCAAGTGTTATTCTGGAACCCATAATTTTTCCACCTAAAATACTTGGCCTCAAAAATCAAGATCCGATGCAGAAAATTCTACGTCTGAAGAAGTGTAATATAGCTGCATAATGTTGGAGGTAGTGAAACAGGAAATTAGTATAGCCAAGTGGAGAAGTTATTCAGCCTTTAACATGAAAAAATTTAAGAGAAATAGGTGAGTGACAGGATTAGGAAATACTATGGTTAGAAGGATTTGTACAAAAAATGAGTCATCCTTGAATTAAAAATGTTTAGTTTTTTTCTACTAGAAACAATATGGCATTTTCATTGGAATGAAATAAATATTCTGGTTAAGAAACATTTTATAACACTGCTTGCATAAACTGTGGTTTCTCAGCATCTCCTTGAAATGTTCACTACATGGTAACACTTCACCAAAAGCTTACTTAGCAAGAAAAGCCAAGTCTATTTCATGTACGGATCATGCAGATGGCCTTTTCAATGTTTTGAATTCTCTATAAAGTGTGACTAGCCAGGGAGGCGACAGAAAGGTGGCAGACAGGACACACAGTCCCAAATGAACAGATTGAAATGGGTATAATTTAAGTCTAGCCAAAAGTAAAGTGTGCATTCACAAGTAGTTACTACTTTCACTCATAGTAGCATTTCAAATCCAGAAAACGGGAAATTTACTGGTTGAAAAGGACCAACAATGAAATCCACGGGCTGCTATGGAAAATATGAAACTTCCTCTACATGCAGAATATCTAAATTCAAATAAACTACCAATTGGGTTAGGAAATTCTTTTATTCATAAGTCTTTCAAAGGGAAACGTTAATACAGTAGGATCAAATACCAACAAATTCTGACTGTTTATCATTGAACCTCCGTGTTCCATTTATTTTCTGACTAATACAAGAAGCAATGCATAATCAGCTGTGTTTTCTGAGGACAGCAGCCTTCTGGTTCACTAATTTGCTTCAGTTCTATCTGACCCAGGAAACCATCTGATACTAGGAGATTTATTTTAGCATCAACACACATGGTATAAATGATCACTACATTGTGCTCATAGTGATTCACGTATGTTTACATGCGTTGTTTCCAAATATTCTGTTCAGCTTAGAGCTCAGAAATTCAGAGAGACAGCAAGCCACTAGAACTGACATAGCATGACAGGATACTATGAATCTAATTCTCAAAAAAAAAAAAAAACAAACACTTTTCTTCTTTACCTCAATCTATTTGCTTTTCTATGTAAGGCAGACCTAAAAATATTCCTGTGGTAGGAAATATTTGCTTCTCTAATCCCATCTTTTGGCACTCAATCCTGACATATACCCCTATGTCAAACTAGTTTCCCTTATTAATGTGCTCCGGAAAATTTTTATTGTATATATTATTATATATGTTTTATATATATTATATATATTCATTCATTTTTCCCTCGATCATAGTGCTTGAACTTGGCACATGGGTGCTGTCTTTGAGCTCTTTTGCTCATGGCTAGTGCTCTACCACTTTAAACCAAGCACCACGTCTGGTTTTCTGGTGGTTAATTGGAGATAAAGAGTCTCATAGACTTTCCTGACTGGGCTGGTTTTGAATTGCAATTCTCAGATCTCAGCCTCCTGAGTAGCTAACATTATAGGTGTGAACCACCAGTATTCATTCTTTTGCTAAATATATGACGTGAGGATGATTGAGTCAAAAAATACACTCATTCACTCGGTTTTTGGTTTGTGCTGATTTAGCAGATTCATGTTCTGAAAAGTCACAAGATTTCTTCTTTGGTACTTACTCTTTCAACTTTTTTGCCAGTCCTGAGTCTTGAATTCAGGGCCTGGGTGCCGTCCCTGAGTCTTTTTTTGCTCAAGGCTATCACTCTACCACTTGAGCCACACCACCACTTTGAGTTTTTCTGAGTAGTTTATCAGAGATAAGAGTCTCATGGACTCTTCTTCCCAGGTTAGCTTCAAACCACAATCCTCAGATCTCAGCCTCTTGAGTAGCTAGGATTACAGGAGTGACCCACCAATGCCTGGTTTCAACTTTCTTAATAATAGACATGATACATAAATCAGTAAGGACATATTTTAAACAGGTGCTTGGATTTTCTCTAAAGGACTGAGTCTGGCCTCTGAAATACAAGACAAAAAAAAAAAGAATGTTAAAGGAAGGATCAGTGAAAATCCCTTATAAGCAAAATTATAACAGAGGCCAGGAAACTGAAAAAATAGGACAGATGCTTTATCCAATAAATACCAAACCCTGACATGCAGCTTAGAAATGGATATCTTTTTGGCACCCAGGACAGAATAAAAGTTACTTCTTTCTGCTTGTGCACTGGATGGATCACAGAACCAAGGACAGTGACTCTAATACTTCAATCCCTACAATGAAGCCTGTCTTCCCCATAGGTGAACAAAGGTAACAAAAGGGATCAGAAATGAGAGGTCTGGTTTTCCCTAGAACAGTCATAACAACATCTTTTGAAAGACACAAAGATACAATTTCTGTCAGTGTTTTACTTGTCTACAAAAAAAGTACCAGCCAAAAGCTAATCTTCCAGTTTTATACTTGCTTCTAAATCTCCCAAATCCTTTCCTCAAAAAGTCTTATGTAGAAGAACTGGAGCAAAGGCAGGTAGAAGATCATAAATAACCAAGAGACAGCCGTGGCAGCCAGAAAAACTTTGAAATTTGTGTTCTAGCATAATTGTTAGTTTGGATTATTTCTTGGAGTCTTCACAATATTCCTTTGTCTCCTCTTCTTCATTTACTATTCAGTGTGAACTAGAAAAATGTCCATTAGCACTCATCTGTGTTAAGCTGAGTACTAAAGTGAAAGTGTATCTGCTTATTCTTTCCTAACTTACTTACTAATTCACTGATGGATATAAGAGGTCACCACAATTCTAACTTTGATCTTTTACTCAAGACACAAGAATGGAAGAAATCATAACTTTATCTTGATCAGCCTGTATTTCTAGACACGAATCTTGCCATGCTACCTGGGATCCAGTCAATGAAGACTGTTGGTGCTTCCTAAACAAATTGATCTGCTGTGTTCATTCCTATTTGCTCTGACTGTCACTCTTCCAAGTTCTCTTCTACACCTTTCTACCATACCAACTCATCTTGGCAGATCAAACTAAAGAGCTTCCCCCAAAGCTTCACTAACTATCCCCGAGGTTCACTTTCCCCTGTCCCTGCTTTCTCAGAATTTTCTGGATGAATTTTCTGCAATACTCAGTGATCACTGGCTCACAACTCAAGCTTTTACTTCTGTGCTTATCTGGTTTACTTCTGGGCTTATCGTGGTTAATCCATCAAATGTTTAGTAAACTCAAGCTTAATATTTGATTTTCTCTAAATTTATTGAAAGCCTCTACGGTCAAAGTTAACTTTAAAATTCTGGTTTTAACAAGAAAGGGCAGAAAGCAAAGCATGGGATTTTTTTTATAGAAAAACACATGCAAAGAGCCCATTTAGAAAAATTGAAAACAGAAACCTTTTTGAAAAAACTTTACAAAATTATTCT